GCCTTTGGAAAATTAACTTACCAGTCTGACTCTCATTTTTCTCAATAGTGAAGTCAGAGGATTTAAATAAATGGTCTTGATAGTCCTTTCTAGGCTCAATTAGGTGATTCTATCTCAACTATTATACTGGGAGAAAAAGAGAAAATAGGATTTGCTTGACAAGAATTCCCTTTATCATGGGCTTTTCAGGAATGCAAAAGGAATGATGTGTGAAATAGAAATCCTATCCTACCACCACAGGTGGCTAGGTGATTCTTAATTTTATTATCCTAGCAATTCCAATTAAAGATTGAGAGTCATAAGCTACAACATGGAATAAACTAAGTTCTGATGTCGTATTTTCTGTTGTTCCACAGTTTTTTGCTTATCATCATCATCCTTATTTTGGTAGTACTAGGGTTTGAACTTGGGGTCTTGTGCTTGTTAGACAAGTACTCTACCAGTTGAGCCACAACCCCACCCTCATTCCACAGTTTTTAAAACAGAACAGTTCTGAAACTTCCAGTAGTTAGGTCTTTAATTAAAACCAAAGGGCAATTTTAAAATTAGCTCTTTTAATTAATTTTCCTTTGGGTTCTACATTCTGTGACTACACTATTCTTGGTTATTAAACACAGTTTGCACTTCCAAAAAAAAAATCAAGATGTGGTTGAAACAACTGATTTAAATCAAGTCAATCTAAAACTATAAAGAAACACAATAGAGAAGTATTTTGCAAAAATCTGTGTATTTTGCATAAAGTCTTTTCCTTTAATGGAAAATAAAATAAAATTAGTTGCAAACAGAAGACTTATAATTGCCAGGGAAAGTAAATCATTTATCTGATACCATGTATTGCTGACAGTTTTTTTTCTTAATTCCTATTAACAGAAATCTGAAATTAAATAATTGATTTAGAGATTGATGACTTAAAGTTATTTGTAAGTTGCATCCTGAGTACATGAAACAAGAAACTGAATTAGTCCCCAAATTGACATCAAATTGTCTTAAGATGTCTTTCCATATTGAACCAACCTATTTTTAAAGTATCCATTTGCAATAGTCAGTTCCAGATATAAATGGCACACATTTGATGAGAAATCCAAACTCCGTAGAGTACACAGTGTTCAAGCTTTTCTTGATTTTTTTTCTTTTAACAAAAAGTATTTTCAGGCAACATGCAACAGTGGATTGTATAAACTAGTATTTCATCCCTTTCTTGATCCTGCAAGAGAGAGAGGTAGTCTCAGTTTTGTTTTAATTCGTATTTCAAAAAGCAACTGTTGGTGTGTTTTGTTCTTGTTCTTAATGGAAAAAGACAAACCCCAGGTTGATGTTTGCCAAATGCATTTTGCATATAGGTGAGGCCTCCATTTCTCTGGGGGCCCTTCTTGAAGGGTTGGCTTGCTGCCTTCCAGCATCAGGACCGCAGTTGTGCCATCTTCCACCTGTGGCCCAGCTGACGTGGCACTGCATTGGCCTGTGCTGACTGCTACAAGTTGTACTTGGTGGGTTGAACTACTGGGCTTTGCATTTTCCGTCCTCTCATTTACCCCTCTGGTGGTTCTGCAGAACTCACTAAGGCAGAAGATGGAGGCTCTGCCATGTCCTGTGGAGGTGGGAACACAGGGGACTGCCAAGAAGTAGCATCAGCCCTATTGACTCAGCTCATAAGAGGACTGGGCCTTGGGCCCTTTTATAAACTTAACCATGATTTCCATCTCATTCTCTTGCTGAGTAGCTGGGAATGGAGATGCAGAAGCTGGAGAAATCTTAGGTGGTTGGGTCAGCTCCACTTTCCAAGTTCTTTCTCTCACCTTGGGTGTTGCTTTGGTCCAGCTGCCACTCCTAGTCCCCTTGCCCCCATGGAAGCCTACCCCAGTCACATCTTGCCTATGCCTTCAACTAGCAGGAAAATTGCACCCATTTCATTCCTAGGGCAGGGGTAGGTAAGGAAAGGATGACCAATGGAAGGTATGTGAGGCCTTGTCACCTGCCCAGCACCTGTATCACAAAGACACAGATTCCTTTACACTCCTCCAGCTTTGTTTCTGCTCCAGTCCCGGTTCTCACCAGGCATTACAAGGACCTGGGTAAAGGGGGAGCTGCTGAGTCAGGGTCTCTAATGGAGCTTGCATTCAGCATGTGAGTGAGGCCACGGAAACCCCACCTCCATCCCATCTTACCTCCCAGGGTGAGGTTTTCAGGGGTTCTTTAGGGCAGCAGATTAAAATCTTGCTACAGTTGAGAAAGTGACAAAAAGCTTCCATGCTATACATAGTTCTTTCTCCTTTTATTTTGAAGAAGAAAAATACAGAAAGATGTATCAGATTTGTATAAATGACAATATGACAGCATGTGGTAAGTTTGCTTTATGACTTAGGAAGCAAAATTTGTGACTCTGTACATATGTATGTATGTATAAATGTATGTATGTATGTATATCTCAAAACAGCAATGGGACTGTTTATATTGTTTAAATAAATATTATTTTTTCTTAAAAAATAAATAGGAAACTAATACTATGGATTCTTCCCCATAGGCACACATGTCATTAGGTGAAAATTCTATCCTCCCCTCATATTGGATGCAATCTATAGTGGGGTTCTCAACTCTGACTGCACATTAGAATGGCTGGAGCAAGTTTTAAAGATTCCCGAAGTCCACACCGTGCCTGAGACCAATCAAATCAGTCCCAGTGGATGCAGAATCTAGGTGTCAGTTCCCAGGAGATTCTCATATGCAGCAAAGTCTGATAGCCAGTGAACAAGTATGGTTCAGTCAAGGCATTTCCAATTAGACTGACTGCACCATCTTGGTTTAAAAGTGGCAGTGTAAAGCACATCTATTTGTTTTTCAATTCTTTTATAGAAAACTATTCAACACAAAGTTATCCATTAAAAAAAGGCAAATAAAATGTAAAAAGTGGAGAAGACCTTGGGGGTAGCCACCTCTGGAATATCTGCTCAGCTCAAAAGGAATTCCTTGTCTGCTTTTGTCCCTCATCCATAGAAGGGGATCATGGGGGCCATTGGATAAACTGGGTCAATTGAAATCCCAACTCTAGGATTTAATTGAGATTGAAAGTTAATATTACTGTGTGGTTTGGATGTGTAGGCTGTGGAGTGGGTGAGTATTCTGGCAGGAGGACTGAGTAGTCAAGAATGTTTATTGAGAAAGGGAGAGAGAAGCGATAATAAGATCAGAGGTGAGCGGCAGAGACATATCTAGACTCTCAGGATAGACAATAGAATGCCTGGTATCCCTCTGAATATTGTTAACAGAACCCTTTTCTTATTCAGGGCCTCTCTCACCTCCATTCCACATGGTCCTTGGGATAATCATCAGTTTTTTGCTATTTTGTAGATACCAGAGGGAGAAAAAGGTGGCATAGTCACTTTGGTGACCACCGATTGTCAGAAGAAACTTGCTGACACAAGCATCCCTGGAGCTTTCCTGACTGTTGGGTCTCCTGAAGCCTTGTTGCTCAGCCAGTCTTTGAATTCTAGGATGAAGGATGTCTGTATTGTCCTTGGGGGTCCCATCTCAAATCCATTTGGCAGCCTGTTAGCCTACTGTTTGGGGGATTCATAAGACACTCTTGCATCCTTAACACCTTTTTCCCTTCATATAGCTCAGGATATTTTGGATATTTATGAGTCTTAACTAATATATACTTTTACTTGGCTCCCTTGTTCATGTGGATGGTCCTGAGACTATTTAAAGCAGGAACAAGGCCTTTTTAACCCCTGACCTAGTATTCAAGGTCACAATCAAGATAATCCCAACTCTTTTTATCATTCTACATGCTTTGTGAAGCCTCATTTATTCATTTTCATTTTGTAAGTATCTTGGAGAGAAATTCATAACAAAGCTATACTTTGAGAACAATAGGATTAAAAGCTTATCGAATACAAACGGTGGTTCTAAATAATGTATGGTCTTTTGAACAGGAGCCCAAATCTACTCATGAAGAAAAGAACTATTTCCTCTATAAAGCAACATTAAATGAAATTACAGTACTACCATCAAATCCAACTGTACACCATCAATTTTTCATTTCCAACGGTACTCTTCTTTATTAAAAATCTTTATTAAATAACAAAATAAGCCAGCTAATCTAATAAGTACTTCCTTGAGCTCAGTATTAATGTATTTGGCACACGATTCAAGGCCGCCTATCCAAATGCAGTAACACATGGCTTTTGCCTTGTGATGCAGCAAGCAGAGTTGCACTGACATAACTTTAAAGTCCAAAGAAAGCCTCCCAGGCTTCTCCAGACCCAAGTCCCAGAAGCGCCGAGGTATGGCGGGTGTTCAAACGGTGATTTCTCATTAACTCTGGATCTGTGGAGCCGGGTTGTTAGAATTTAAAGATAATTGGTAAAAGATTAAAAAGAGAAAAATGAAAGCACGATGCTAAGCAGCTTAAGTGATTAACAATGGTGTGATCTCTGTTAAACTCTGGATGAACTAATAGGAAATGAAATGAAATAGTGGGGCCAGTGCCAATAATATGTGATCGTAAAGTCAACCCAGTTCATGTTCCTTTTCTGAAAGTCCATTTCCTATGGATAGTCTGGTAAAGGCAGTGGGGTGAATAAAATGAAGCTGTTTAAAGGTATTCTTTTGGCCATCATACTTTATTTTTAATAAAAATGTCATAAAATTAAAGGTACCACACATCTTTTAAATAAGAATACATTTTCTGTAGTATATCAAGCCATCATTTACAGATTAACACTGCAAAAAATCTGAGCAAGCAACTCTTAATTTGTTTACATAAAATATATGAAATAAAATTTATGAGATGAGAATGAACAAACAAGAACCAATTCAAAGTCCTAAAAAAATTGTCTCTATTAATTCCTTCACAACTTCAAAAATCACACACATTTACAGAAAGAATGTAGGCATTTTAACACTGGACATCATTTACAAAATGAATTCATTTCTCTCCATTCCTTTTGATTCCTTGGATCTGACCAAGGTCCAAGGGGTTGTGGTGCCTCCTCAAGACTTGGAGCTGGTGGCCACTCTGAGCCCTGGAAGGAGGGGTCATACCAATTCGTAGTATTTCCCAGTCTGGGGATCAAAGTAACAGTTCAGACATGGGTCATACAACAGAGTCAGCACTTCCTCATCCTCTTCTACACTCAGGTCTTCTTCACCTGTGGGGGAAGGGGAACCACGGACACATTAGCTACAGGTCTGATCCAGATTCATAAACTGTCTACAACAAGGGTGATGAAAGAGGGATCACCATCGCTCCTGGGGGACCTTCTTTATCAGGTGAGTGTTAGGCTGGGAAGGAGGAACACCATGGAAGTGATGAGACTCCACACAGGCAGTGTAAGATTGAGAAGAAATACCAGTTATCCAAAGGGCCAGTTTCACAATAATAGACAAGGAAAACAGTGTGCCTATGAAAGAAGTAAGGGACAGGGTCAAATGACTAAACAGTTATATTCATTAGAATTAGGGAATCTTGGGAAGGATTCAAAACTTTTATCATAGTTCTAAGCTTGTACATGGTCAGAGCCATACCAAATTAAAAAAAAAAACAACAAATTCAATGACAAAATTAAAATACCAGTCCCCACTCATGAATTCTAAAAAGGCTACCAAACAGATATGAATTAAAATAATGTCATTTGCAAACAGAAGACATATAAAGCAGAGACCACAGACAGAAAATAGCATGTCAGGTGACCTGTACTTTTACTAGCAGGAAGGGCTAAGTTTACTGGGGTGCAAACACGGCCTGGTTCCCTGTGATGCTGATTCAGACGCCTTGGATGAAGAGAATACCCGAGGCCTAAGTCATTAACAGTTTTCAATAAATGCCATAAAGTTCAAAACAATATTTTAGGGCTGGGGATGTAGCTCAGTGGTGGTGCTTTCCTAGGATGTGCAAGGCTCTAGGTTCTGCCCCCAGCACTGGAAAAAAAAAGTTTTACAAGGATGCTTTCTGGGCACCTTGATGTGCTCAGTGTTGTGCTAAGCATGTTGGTATTTGGGAATGAGTCCTTCTGAGTCCTTTAGAAAGTCTGTGTAGTAGGACTCCAGATGCTCAGGTCTTGATCTTCAGGCAAGAGAAAAGCAGAACAGGTTCAGGGAAAAGGGGGTGATTAGGATGACTCTTGCTTCTTCATTTGCACAGGCTATTAAGGACCAAAGGAAACCAAGCCTATAGAGTGTGAGCTCAAGCATTGACTTCTGGAGGGCTTGGGCAGTGGGCATGGAACAGGGCTCTGCAAATAACATTGACTCAATGAAATCTGTTTTTCTTTTTTTTTTTTTTTTAATAGTGAAACTAAACTTTATTTATTTTTTTTTTTCATTTTTCTTTTATTATTCATATGTGCATACAAGGATTGGTTCATTTCTCCCCACTGCCCCCACCCCCTGCCTTACCACCCACTCCGCCCCTCCCTCTCCCCCCCCAATACCCAGCAGAAACTATTTTGCCCTTATTTCTAATCTTGTTGTAGAGAGAGTATAAGCAATAATAGGAAGGAACAAGGGTTTTTGCTGGTTGAGATAAGGATAGCTATACAGGGCATTGACTCACATTGATTTCCTGTGTGTGGGTGTTACCTTCTAGGTTAATTCTTTTTGATCTAACCTTTTCTCTAGTACCTGTTCCCCTTTTCCTATTGGCCTCAGTTGCTTTAAGGTATCTGCTTTAGTTTCTCTGCGTTAAGGGCAACAAATGCTAGCTAGTTTTTTAGGTGTCTTACCTATCCTCACCCCTCCCTTGTGTGCTCTCGCTTTTATCATGTGCTCAAGTCCAATCCCCTTGTTGTGTTTGCCCTTGATCTAATGTCCACATATGAGGGAGAACATACGATTTTTGGTTTTTGAGCCAGGCTAACCTCACTCAGAATGATGTTCTCCAATTCCATCCATTTACCAGCGAATGATAACATTTCGTTCTTCTTCATGGCTGCATAAAATTCCATTGTGTATAGATACCACATTTTCTTAATCGGGCATCTTGGCTGTTTCCATAACTTGGCTATTGTGAATAGTGCCGCAATAAACATGGATGTGCAGGTGCCTCTGGAGTAACAGTCTTTTGGGTATATCCCCAAGAGTGGTATTGCTGGATCAAATGGTAGATCGATGTCCAGCTTTTTAAGTAGCCTCCAAATTTTTTTCCAGAGTGGTTGTACTAGTCTACATTCCCACCAACAGTGTAAGAGGGTTCCTTTTTCCCCGCATCCTCGCCAACACCTGTTGTTGGTGGTGTTGCTGATGATGGCTATTCTAACAGGGGTGAGGTGGAATCTTAGCGTGGTTTTAATTTGCATTTCCTTTATTGCTAGAGATGGTGAGCATTTTTTCATGTGTTTTCTGGCCATTTGAATTTCTTCTTTTGAGAAAGTTCTGTTTAGTTCACTGCCCATTTCTTTATTGGTTCATTAGTTTTGGGAGAATTTAGTTTTTTAAGTTCCCTGTATATTCTGGTTATCAGTCCTTTGTCTGATGTATAGTTGGCAAATATTTTCTCCCACTCTGTGGGTGTTCTCTTCAGTTTAGAGACCATTTCTTTTGATGAACAGAAGCTTTTTAGTTTTATGAGGTCCCATTTATCTATGCTATCTCTTAGTTGCTGTGCTGCTGGGGTTTCATTGAGAAAGTTCTTACCTATACCTACTAACTCCAGAGTATTTCCTACTCTTTCTTGTATCAACTTAAGAGTTTGGGGTCTGATATTAAGATCCTTGATCCATTTTGAGTTAATCTTGGTATAGGGTGATATACATGGATCTAGTTTCAGTTTTTTGCAGACTGCTAACCAGTTTTCCCAGCAGTTTTTGTTGAAGAGGCTGCTATTTCTCCATCGTATATTTTTAGCTCCTTTGTCAAAGATAAGTTGCTTATAGTTGTGTGGCTTCATATCTGGATCTTCTATTCTGTTCCACTGGTCTTCATGTCTGTTTTTGTGCCAGTACCATGCTGTTTTTATTACTATTGCTTTGTAATATAGTTTGAAGTCAGGTATTGTGATACCTCCTGCATAGTTCTTTTGACTGAGTATTGCCTTGGCTATTCGTGGCCTCTTGTGTTTCCATATAAATTTAACAGTAGATTTTTCAATCTCTTTAGTGAATGTCATTGGAATTTTGATGGGAATTGCATTAAACATGTAGATTACTTTGGGGAGTATCGACATTTTTACTATGTTGATTCTACCAATCCATGAGCATGGGAGATCTCTCCACTTTCTATAGTCTTCCTCAATCTCTTTCTTCAGAAGTGTATAGTTTTCCTTGTAGAGGTCTTTCACATCTTTTGTTAGGTTTACACCTAGGTATTTGATTTTTTTTGAGGGTATTGTAAATGGAATTGTTTTCATATATTCTTTTTCAGTTTGTTCATTATTAGTGTATAGAAATGCTAATGATTTTTCTATGTTGATTTTATATCCTGTTTCTTGAAGGTGTAAATAAAAACTTACAGTCTAGCCAGGTTGGTCACACAACTGTCATCCTAGTACTTAGGAGGCTGAGGCAAGAGGACCATGTGTTTGAGGCCAGCCTGGACTATATAGCAAGGTCCTGTCTCCAAACAAACAAACAAACACAGCCTACAATCTAAAATGTCACTGCCCATAGTAAGGGAGAGGTGAGTGCGGTGCTTACAGTCCCTAGAAACTGGAGTTATAGAGGAATGGTTATGCATGCCTGGCTTGCTACTGTTTCCGTTGGTAGAGCTCTTGATGGTTTAGAAAGCACTTGCTCACGCAGTATCTCATTAGACACTCGTAAGCCTGTGGAACAGGCAGGGATTATCACACCCATTTTACAGATGAGGGAGCCAGGGTCTGAAAGTGAAATAATTCATTTGGGGTGCCTGGTGAGTCAGAAGCAGTGTTGGGGACAAACTTGAGTTTCCAGATTCAAATTTAGTGTTCTTTCTAGTATACCCTTATAAAAAAATTGAGAGGCTATTAATCCGAGCTGGCTCTGTGTTTCAAGTTCCTACATACTAAACAAACTGAAGCCCAGCTCAAGCATAAATTTATAGTGAAACAAAACTTAAGCTTAGTCAACTAGAAATTGCCAAACTAACCTCTAACTAGGGACTTCACTTTAACCAATCACATATATTTTCTTGACTTAGATTTCAAAAACACCTTATAAAAGTTTCCCTTTTAGTTGAGCCCAATCATTTGCAGTCTGGTTTTGACTGATTCAGGAATTGTTTGCTCAAATAAGCTCTTTAAAATACTAATGTACCTGGATTTATCTTTTGACACCATGCTTGATGTTTTTGTGAAGGGGGTGGTATAACACATTTAATTGGGAGCTATTATATTAAAGAAATTTAACCATGGGAAAGAAAAAAAGTAAAGGTATCTTACATATTCAATTATCAGATTGACCTCCTTTGGGTCACTTTTGCACATCAAAGGAGAATATGCATATCTGTTGCTTTCAGTCTATCATTCCTTTAGCATTTGGGCTATTTTGGAGAACCAAACAAAATCAGCTCATCAATAAGTTTACTGTATGCCTGCTATGTGATTGAGTTGGACCGTCTATCTGTGGAGGTGACTTTCACCCATGAAATAAAAGCAGCCCCTAGAGGCTAACAAGGAGTTAAACTGGGAGTTGCTACTGGAGAGGGGCTGAAAGCACCCACAGGTTTCGGATTCTGGCATATCTGGAGATGGATGGGAGCTCTGCTGCTTACTCTGGAATGACTGCAGACCAGCTGCAGGTTAATTCACCTCAGTGGACCTTGGTTCCTTGTTTATAAACCGGTAATAGCAATGCTTATTTTATAGGGCTTTGTATACGTTTAAATTGGACCTGGTAATATGCACAGCACAGTATACAGTACTGGTTCAAGAAATGATAGTTACTGTAACTATAAAGGCTAGTGATGATAATAATCATGAATGGTAAGCTACAACTTTCTTAGTAATTCAGAAAAGAAGTATTGATATGGCTTAAAGTATGAAGGAAAGGCTTTGTAGAAGCAGGCAAGTATGACATTTAGATAATGGAGCCAGGCAGATTTGGGTCCAAATCCCATTTCTACCATCTTATGTTGTAGGACAGGACAGTAGGAAAATTGACTGCTCTGAGCCTCCATTTCCTGTATGTAAGTCAGGATACTAACAATACCTGTCATAGTTCTGATGGGGACTAAATAA